GCGCATCGTTGGGTTGGGCCAATCACAGGGCGGGCAAGGGAAACGACTGCGCGTGGATTGGCTGGCATCGCAACGACCGACCTAGCGACACCGTCCAAAGATCGCAAGAGAGTCGTTGGCTCCAAGGCAGCGACAGAGTTGCTGGGTGGATATGTTGATATGGCTTCTCGACCGTTAAGAACTTTCCACTAGTAGGTGGGACTGATATCTTTGCTGGAATCGAGTCGGGCGTCCTCATCGATGACGGCTTCTTATGTCGTTTGATCTCTAGCACCAAACCACTGGCAGCGTAAGCTTAGTGAAAGCCCGGTGCAAGAGAAGATGTTGTCTTGAAGAGGCGTTTGAACGCACGAGGTATGGACCTTGAGCCGGAGCACGGTGCAGAGAACGACGACCAACTATAACGCTTGAAAAGTCGATCACTCGTTGCTGTAAATACGCGGCAGTGGGACGGTGCTTCAACTGGTTTGCGTAGTCGGTATCAACCAAAAAGGATGTGCTCGGTGGTTTCCGTACGTGTCTGTGGATGCTATGGCTGCAAAATACCGGCAACAACCCATCGTGAACGCGCGACGCCGCAGGGCGCGGCTAGTAGCAGCTTCGTGAACCCCCGCGCCGGCTTCAAGCGAGATCCAGCAATCCATGGGTGATGAAATAAGTTCTGAGCCCTTTTCGGATAATTTTTGAGTGCCCATGTCGTCGGGTGGGAGGGCCGGCGAGGTACATTCCCAAGCTAGCAACGGCTACGGAGAGCAAGTGGAATAAAACGGCCGTCTTGACCAGCGATCTGTCTTGGGCCAAACGAGGTTTCGCTTCCGCGCAATATTCGTAGGCAGATGTAAGCTTAGCACCCCGTGGACCACGAGTTTAGGTCGCGATACACTGTACAACAGGCGCAAGGTTCCGGGGCTAGCTATTCTCTTGGCAATGAGGTCACCTTCTTGGTCATCAGATTCGAGTTGATTGTCCACAACTTGTGGCTGCTCAGTCGCTTTGTAGAATATACACTTTGTGTCAACCAGCATGATGGATTAACGTGTTACGAACTCAATGC